GATTTCCTATATTGACTGGAGTGAGCCCACTATTATGAACTTCCTTTTTTACTACTTTCTGTGTTATTTTTACCTATGATTAAATTATCTACGTTTAGTTTAAGTGATTTTATTTTTATACCCTCCCCCCACTTCCTAGTTTAAAAGCTCCTCCAGTCTTTCTACCATTTTCCCCCCCAGGAATCCTGCACCTTTCCCATTTAAGATGCAGCCCGTCTCGGCTGAAGAGCCGATAGCCGACTGCGAAGTAAGCCCAGTTCTCCAGGAAACCAAAACCTTCCTTCTGACACCAGCTCCGGAGCCACTTGTTAAGCTCCCTCAACTCGCGCTGTCTGTCCGGAGTGGCTCTTGGCACCGGCAGTATCTCTGAGAAAACTACCGTGGAGGTCCTTTCCTTCATCCCAGCACCTAGGTCTCTAAACTCCCTTTTTAGGACACTCCAGTTTCCTCCTATTTTGTCATTGGTGCCGATGTGCACCATGACAGCGGGGTCGTGCCCAACCCCATCTAGTAATCTGTCAATTCGTTCCGCAATGTGTCGAACACGAGCCCCCGGTGTCAAACTATATTTTCTTTTTTAAGAAACATAAAAGAATATAACACACATGCAGTACACACATTTGTCTAGTGACTGTAGAAAATAATATACTTTGACTGTAACATACTAACATCTTGTGATGTAGCTTTTTTTTGGTAGATTTTTGACTCTAAAATGGTCAGTTGGATAACGGAGATATCGTTTAAAATAAATTATACAATTTATATACTAACTAGAAGCCGCTGAATCCATTTCATTCTCTACAATACCTATCAAATATCTTATATTTTCTCATAAAAATGTAGACCAGATTGAATTAAAGCAAAACTCTGGAAATGTAAAAAAACAAAACAATTACCCTTGGGGTTGGGACACCGTCACACTGCATGGTATAGTGCTTGTTTTGTGTAGGGGGCTCAAATAAAGCAGATACATTGACTTGATCCTCGGTCCCTCCGGGATGCTAGACCCCTGGAGCCTGTTCTCCCCTGGGCTCCAGTGGTCTAATTACTGCTAAAATCATCATGTCTAATGCAGGGCCACTGACTTGCTTTAGAGGGGAGCACGCCGAGGGGCATTCCACAGCCGAGAGGATGGGGGGAAGAGAGGAGTGCTGACCACTGTGGAAACCGAGGATCCGGTGAGTGAATCTGCTTTGAGCCCCCTAGACAGAACGAGCACTTGACCCTTGCAGTATGGGAGTTGCCCCATCCTTTTTTTTTTATTCCTGGATTTCATCCTAAAGTGTATGCTCTAAAAATTCTTAAAAAATTAAGATGAATTGGAAAAAATTTTGTGGCAGAGCACAGAAAATAGTATAACATTGATGGCTTACAAATGTTGTGCTATGGTGCCACCTACTGTTGAAATTGTATCATTGTTTCACCGTGTTTATACATAATACGGTGAGAATATGCTGCTTACAATAAAGTATGTGCATATATTGCCTACTAAAAGCAACTGTTGACTTATACTGCCGCCTAAAGGATGATATGTACTTTAGCAAATTTAATAACTGTCTAGCCTGTTGTACCCCTCCCACTCATGCCTCAGTTTTTTGCAAGTATCCTAAGTGGGTGGGCATCTTTTTTTTTTTTTTTCTTCTGCTGAGAAGTTTCTGCGGTTTCTAGCCATTTTTTCAAGATAATTTTTTTCTTTAGTCACAACTTCATCTACAAATCCTTGCAGAATGAGGTTCCCCCAGCGGAGTTGCCAAGAGCCCCCCAAAAATCGCAGACTTAGAGAGACCATTTCTTATTGAAGCGTTGCATGCCAATTGAACAATGGAGGAGCAACCTGTAACGTCCAACAGTGCTGCTACCAGTTTAGGATGCCTAAGAGGCCTTAGGACTACTAAAACCTTTTCCATGCACATGTTAATCCCAGATCTCTTGTACACTGATTCCTGTTGAATTATTAACACCTCCCAAACGTTTTTTCAATCAAAAATCTATCAGAGGAGGCCTTTATCAAGAAGTGAGTTGTTTTCACAGTTTATATGGTCATGTCCCGTCTTAACAAACCACTGACAATTTCTGTAGAGGATCTGCCAATATTTATAGATCCCACAGACAGATGTTAAGAGACTCTCTTCAAAGCCTTGCATTGCAACCTGCCATGGTTGTGATGTTTAGTCTGTCAAACATTGGTGGAATGGACTAAACTAAGGGCAAAAGCATGCTAAGGGATACTAATCCTCTATTTCTGGAGTGATTAGTGTTAATGCAGGCAGGCCTGCACTATAGTGTAGATGGATTAATGGCTGTCTAGTCAGTTTCCATGTGTAGAAAACTTTGCCTGAACTAGGCTGCAGAGCAGGCATGCAACAACCATTTACTTGCACATTTCTTTTAAAGGAGAACTATGAGGTGAGTGCTTTTCACTCACCTCATAGTCCTAGCCGACCTGTGACAATGAGACTGTCAGAGGTCGGCTCAGTAGATCGGGAGGTGAGCGAACACATACCGGCGTTCACTCACCTCTCGATCTTGTCACGGCTGGATTATTGAAACATTCCCCCTTCACCCCCAAGCCTAAACCTAAACCAGGAGACCAGTTTCACCACAAGCACTAGGCCCCTAATCCCAAAAATCCTATGCAGGATCAAGATGGAGGCCATTCTGGTGATACTCATAGCTCCGAACTGGGCTAGGCAGATGTGGTACTTGAGTCTAATAAGACTCCTGGCTTACACTCTGTGGGCACTTCAGATTGACCGGATGTTCTGTCCCAAGGACTGGTTTATTATCCTGCTCCATGGTCATTGGCTTTAATGGCATGGCTGTCGAAGCTCAGGCCTTTTAGGACAGGGGCCTCTCTGTGTCTGCAATCCCCACGATGTTAAAAACAATTCCACTTACCAAAATATCTACCATTACACATGAAAGTCATAGTTCGCATGGTGTGAGGAAAGCAATTTTTATCACAAAAAATACTCCGAGACAAATCCTGACTTTTATTATTTATAATAAGACTTGGGTCAACAATTGCCACTGAGTACTATATAGGGTCAGTTCCCAGCAATTATGATCTTATTCCAAAGACCAGTAGCTTCCCTTTCTTTGATTAAAACCTTATGTACAGGTTGTCCCTGTGCGACCACCCGTGGCTCAGTGAGATTTAAATTTGGTTCTCTCAGCTCTTGATAAACCTTTTAACCTATCAGGGATATTCCACTTTCACTCACCATTCCTTGTCACCAGTACCTCTGCAAGGGTGGGGGATCTAAATTGGCGCTCAGTCCTGTAGAGAACCTTTTCTGGTCTTAAACAAGGACGGGGGGTCCTGCTTTTAATATCCCATTTGTTACTGAATCCTGTGTTCCTCAATAAATGAAAAAGTAAGTTGTATTTTTGTATTCACTGTAAAATCCTTTTCTTGGAAGCTCTTTGAGGGACACGGGTCCTAACCCTCTGTGTTTGTGTTCTTGCTCTCAGCACTACTTGTTACAAAACTGAAGCATTCTGGGAGTGAGAGGGTTTATATCAGGATGGTCTCTTCTTTTTTTTTTTGCTGTCTGTGTCTGAATCCTCCTGTAGTATAACCCAATTGTTTCTCAATCCTGTCCAAAAATGTAGTCCAAAAATCCAATTTCTACAAATGATGAACACATAAGTGTTACACATACAGTATGTTGCAAAATGCAGTGCAAAGTTGGATCTATTTTAATTAAATGAAAAAAATAACTTTTTGAAAAGTTATGATGCCTACCTGTAAAATCTGTTATTTTTCTGTGCATAGCATCTTTGGTTTTCACATGATGCTTATACAATATGGCTCATTTTACCTAAAGACTTAGGACCCAGTTTGCCCGAGTTTTGGAAAGAAAAAAAACTGAGGACAATCAAGGAAAAGTCTTCCCCATTGTGTTACCTTCTTTTTTTTATGTGGATTGCCATTTAGCTAGATCAAGTCTGCATATTTTTTCTTCTGGTTTTCAGAAAGCAGACTCTTCATTGTTTTCCAGGGGCACAACATTAGAATATACAGATATGCAGAAGCATGTCTGTTACATAGTTGTATACTGTAGCTTGAAAAAAGATCTTTTACTTCAACCAAAAGAAAAATAAATGAATGCATTCAAATCCTACATATACAAAACCCTAAATCTACAGTTGATCCAGAGGTATGTAAAAAAAAACCCTATCAGACTAGATCAAGATGTTTGTGTCAGTCACTCCTGCTGCTACTTTTCAATTCAGCACAAGGACTTCCACTGTGAACTGGTTTAAAATTTTGAGCTGGGTATAAGGTCAAGAGAGCTGAATAGAAGACAATGTAAAATTATGTTTGTGAATTTTTCATTAAATTTGCAAATATGGATAATGCAGAAGTGTTTACCATTATCTAGAGCTTCTTTTCTTAATGCCAGGGTGAGACATATTGCTGTGTGTAGGTATATTACAGCTTCAGGAGGCGAACTCTGTTGAAGACAAATGGATTCTGCTGATCGCCCACTAGTTCTATTCATCTGTTATTAATTTGCTTAGCAGTCATTCTAAACAAAATAATTGTTCATTATAAAGTAAGCCTCAGTATGGGGTTATTGCTTTATGGAAAATAATAAGAGTGCATGGTCACAAGGTGCTTTTGACTACTTTTTCAGTCACACAACCTTTTATTTTTAGCTCCTTTAGGAAGTATCACAGACCAGAGTCTGCTGAAGGAAGTCCCTGATGCTAAAGTTAGTGCTATTGATGGTGTTGTCTCAGGACTAGGGGATGTGACCTGTGAACCTTGGAATGGAAAACCAGGTATCGACACTGGATTTGCACTCAACAATGATACCAAGGTAAGGCTACCTGTTTGCTGAAATATCACTTTTTTCATGAAGTTGTAGGTTTCCAGGGCAGATATAATGAAAAGTCATCATGTGATGGATAGGCACTGATAAGTTGATTCTGCCACTCATTATATTCCTGAATATTTCCAGTTGTGAGCATTCTATGGTAGGAGTTTGGAACTGGTGACCATTACTCAACGCTTCTGCAGACATTATAAAAGCAATCAAGAGAGTCTTGCTTCCCATTGGCATTCTATGTAATGTAAAATGGGTTCTGAGATATTATCATTTACTTCTAGATGTTGGTAGGTGACTAAAGATTGGCTTACCCAAAAAGAATATTTCAAATGCCAGCAATGGAAAATGCCAGAAGGTTTTGCTTTCAAAGCCTTTTACTATATGCCAAGTCAAGCACCTAAAGCGCACACATTTGCTTTAGTGCTCCCTTGGGACCAAAAAAAAAAAGTAATGGCACACAGGTACAGTACATAGGATAGAGTATATTAGCATTGAAAAAAAAAAAACTTTCAATAATAGAAACAATAGGTTTTGCTTCTTGTTTATAACAAATAAAATAACTGCTAGAGAAAGTAGAAGTGGTTTAATCCTGGGTAGCTTGTATTGCCTCAGCATCTTATCAGAGAAGAACCATAAAAAGGGCCTGTCATTGTATATTTGCTATCACATAGAGGGTTTTTTAGCCCCCTATGGGATGGCTATCACGTTAAGTGTAAAAAAAAGTCTCGTATTAAAAAAAAAAAAGTTTTAAGACCCCTGCCCCAGCGTGCATGCACTTATAAACGTAAATACGCGTCTGGTGCGCCAACATGCAAAAACAAGACTTACGCCACACATGTTGCATATCGCCGCGAATGTCGCAGTGAGAGCAATAATTTTAGGGCCAATAATCTCAGATATCACTAAACTGATGAGCGGTAACAGCTTTTAAAGCGTCGCCTATGGACAATTTTAGGCATGGTCGTTTTTTGTGATTTCGCTGGCGCACACAATTTTAAGGCTTGACATGTTTGGTGTCTATTTACCCAACGTGACCCCGTCTTTTATATTTTACCCAAAAATTGGGTGCTGCTAAATGTTTTATAACCTAACGTAGGAAAAACAGTTTTTTTTTTTTCCCCTCTAAATTTACGGTTATTTTTTATTATATAGTAAAAAATCAAAACCCCAGTGGTGATTAAATACCACCAAAAGAAAACTATATCTGTCCTCAAAAAATTGTATAAAATTAATTTCAGTACAGCGTTGCATGACGTCAAAGTACCGCAGCTCTGAATGCTAAAAAAATGGCCTGGACAGGAAGGGGGTTTAACACCGCGATCAGCAAGTGGTTAAAGTGGAGCTCCATAAAAAATATAATATTTTCAATTATCTCAATTATACACTGCATGCATGAATCTGTCTTATAATAGCAGTCATTGTGTTTTTTTTACAGTAACAGATCCAGATCAGACAAATATACATTGCCCAGAAAACTATTTTCTTTATATTATTACCCAAGCACATAGTTATCACGTTTCCAAACAGCTGGCTCCACCCCTCTCGGCTTCCCTGAACTTCCTGTCCACTACAAAATCACAAGGAACAGTGCAGTCTCCAGCAGCTGTTCATCTACTAGCCTGGAGACGAGGTGAGGAAGGAGGAGTTGAAAAGCAGGAAGCAGAGGAGTGGCTTACCTTGCTGTGACTGCATGTTTGTGGAGACACACTCAACTTACCAGCACACACAAGGTGGCTCAATAGGAGCCACCCTAAAGCAGAATATCAATGCAGGGTTTTGGGGATAAGCTGGTTTTGCAGGAAACTAAAAATTTGAAACATCAATAAGCAGCATCCATTGGAAGTGATTTAATCAGCATTTGAAATAGCTTAAAAACCTTTAGATACATTCCAAACATTTCAAGCTTCAAAATTGTGCACCCTAAATTGTCCATAGGGGATACTTTAAAAGCCTGTACATGTCATCGATTTACATTTAACCGTGAATAATGCCCTTTAGAATTGTTGCTCACACCCAATATGTGAAATACGTGTGTGGGAGGCAGGAGACTTTTGGCAAGATCGGCTTTATGACCACCCAAATAAATTTCAGTATAAAGCTGACAGTCGGCTTTATACATATAAACCGACTTTAGCAGCCAGGAGTCTGCTTATAGGGTTTCACTGCTGCTGTTGACTTATTGCATACGTCGGTGGCAAGGTGAGGTTTAACCGACTGAGCTGTCCAGCAAAAGTTGCAGATAAAGGGTTGTGAGAAACCATTTAACACTGCAGGGCGCTTGCACTGGTTAGCTTTTATGCATGTCTAGCCTTTACCCACAAAGGGAAAAAAATACGGTAATTATTGTAATTGCTTAAATTGTGTTAGCTGTAGTTCAGATTTATTTTAGAAATGCCCATTGTGCATACTGCATGTACCACTATCCTCTGCACAGGCTGACCATGACGCTTTTCAAGGGTGGCTCTGCTGCTCCTCCCATAGAGCCACCCTAAGACAGGAAGTGTTTTACTTCCCGGATAAGCAGGTAAAAATATAGGGGGGAAAAAAGCCTCAAAAGAAAACAAATGTAGCCAGCAGTATTGGTAGGCTGCAATATATTTGGTTTTGGGTTTAGGCATGTTATAAGCAAAAATGTACTCTAGGAGAGCAGAAGGGTAATGCTTTTTCTTAAACGTTCACTACAGGACTTTAGTCTTAACCCTGCATTTTATGCAGCTACCTTCAGGTGAATCGACATTGGAAAAAAAAAAGCTGCAGGGACAGCCCCCATATATCCCTTTCCTCTCCCAACAATCCTTTTTTTTGCTTTTTCCTTAGGTGATGGATGTGTTTTCTCTACTTAGAGAAGCATTTTGTAGGTATGGGTTTGTTTTGTTTTTAATGGATTTTTCTTCAAGACACTGCTAGCAAGTCAGTGAGCAAGAGCAATGGGTCAGGGGGCCTCACCAGCTCATACTTGGCGAACGACACAGGATGGGAGGGATAATATCTATCCTGACTTGACCCAGTCCCCCCTGCTCTGACTGCTGCCCCAGTGTGATTCTCTCCCTTCTTCTGCGGTCTCCATTGCTCCCTCTGACACACTTCCCTTCTGCTATCTAGAGGGGAGTTCTCGACAACCATGTCTAATTTTATAGGTAGGATCTCAGCCATATTAAATGTACATTGCAGGGGGTGCAAGTGTGCCCCTTCATCCTCTCCTCCAGAGTCAGTTTCTGACTTTCGCCTTGTGTCTGCTGAACTGCCTGTGGAGAAGGGGGTGAGAATGAAGTTTCCCCTGTTTCCTAGGAATCCAATTAGAATGAGAAACTTCCAGATAACTCCCCAAATTTGCTAAGTGCTTTTTAGTTCAGTCACTCTTCAGAGCCAGTTCTGCAGGGTAACTGGCTTCAACCTGCAAAGCTTTTTGTACCCCCCAGGGCATTTTGCTCAGCAGTACCTTTTTGAGGAGGGTTTCCTTAAGAAATGGACTGTCTCTGTGGTGGATACAGCCATTTCTTGCCGTAACAAAGTTTTGAAGGGTCTGATGGATGATGGGGACTCGATGGATAATAGGTTAGACATGCTTCTTAAGGCCTTCTTTTCTCAACCGTCCAACCTGCATTTGCAACCATAGAAGTCTGTGAGACCCTTGCAGTCTGGACTAAGCTCATGGTGCGAGACTCTGGATCTATTTTGACTGATCTGTCTGTGCACCAACTGCTTACCTGGGGCCTCTCACTACTGTGTGCATGGACTAGGATATTGCCAGATATCCAGAATGAGCTTCCTTTCCATTCACATGAGAAGGATACTTTGACTTGAGTGTTTGTCCGACAAACACCTGTGCAAGAAATCACAGGGGGCAAGAGTATACTTTATCCTCCAGAAAAAGATTTTTTCTACAGGAAGCTTTTGGCTCCAGAAGTTAAAAGTTTATGTCCTTCTCAGTCTCAAGGCTCCAAGTCGAAATACGGCACAGTTTTGCAGGAAGTGTTGTTCCACTGAGCCTATTAAGTCCAGGAACAAAAAAGTAGGGAGATGCTAGTCATAGCTCCTGTTGCAGTGGATTAAAGATTTAGTAGTTTCACGGTTCCTAAGTCGATTGAGATATTTGCCCCATCTTAAATCTGATGTGTCTCAATGGTTTTCTTCGAGTCCAGAAATTCCATATGGAATTAACCATGTCTGTAATTTCCTCCCTTCAGCAGGGGGACCTGTTAGCCTTTGTGGACATCAAGGATGTCTACTTGCATATTCACATTTTCTCACCCCATCAGTGCTTTCTACTCTTTGGTCTATCTCAATGTATTGTGTCTTTACTAAACTGCTTACCTTGGTCCTGGCTCTGCTTCACTCTCAAATAATGCATGTTGTGGGCCATCTAGACGATCTTCTGAAGAATCGCCCCACATTCTTTTTGCCAATGTTTAGAGGATGGGGCAGGCAGATGGTGCGGCCTGCTTTTGGACACTGCCCTTTCAGAGGTCTTTTTCCACAAGAGAAGCTACAGTGTTCTTCAGTCTAGGAACGACCTCTCTATTCACTTGTCCATGAGGGTTCTGGGTCTAATGGTGGCCTCATTTAGGGCAGCCACCAGTGGGGCACCAGAATTTGTGCAGCACGAAAAGATCTCATCCTGGCCTGGGCAGTACTTCACATTCTGGCCTTAACCGCAGTGCACATCTGAGGCATGGGTGGACTTCATCAACTCTTTAAAACGGGGGTATTTTTTTTCTTTCCAAGAGATGTTTCAAGCTCTCTGTCACACGTAGGGGACTCTGGATGTGGACCTTCCTGTGTCCAAGTTTAACAACAAACTGGACAGGTTTATCCAAAGACCATTATGGTTTTGCAGTTGATGTTCTGGTGACTCAATGGGATTTGTTGTAATGTAAGCTCTGATCTAATATCTAATCCCACTCAGAAGGTAGCCTTCCTTATCATTATTACCTCAACAAAGCAGGTCTCTTTTCAACATACAGATTCCCTCTTTGTCCTTCCTGAGGAATCAGGCAGGGAGCTCCCTGCTTCTCGCTTTACCATTACTAATAGTTAGTCATCATTCGAGCCTTTATTTGATTGATAGGGTTCCCTCCTTACCTGTTAACACTCACTCTACTAGACCTGTTATGGCTTTGTGGGCCTTTAAGCATCAGATATCTGTTTTCCAGATTTGCAAGGCTGCCACCTTCTCCTCTGTTCAGACGTTTTCAGCCAGTTTCAGGTGTAAGGTACTTCAAGTTGCCCTCTGAGCCCTCCTGAGCGTTTTCATGCCTGTTGTACCTAGTGGGCCAGTTAGGGAATTCTTTGTTGTGTTGCTCACCCCTCAGTTCCCAGGGTTCACACTGATGATCCTGTGTCCTGTACTGTATGATTAAGAAAATAGGATTTCTGAATTGCCTGTAAAATCCTTTTCTTGAAATACAGTACAAGACACAGATCATTCCCTTCTGTTCTTATGATCTCCTATTTCTTGCTACCAAACTGAGACTTGCTGTGCGAGAGAATAGTTATATGGGGGCTGTCCCTGCAGCCTTTTTTTTTTTTTTTGCAAGCACCCAATCATCTTGAAGGTATCCGTATACATAACTCCGGTTTAAGACTAAAGTTCCTAATGTCATGTATTGTACTCCAAGAAAAGGATTTTACAGTGAAGACAAAAATCCTAATCAGAATAGACCACCTTCCCCTTAAATATTTCCATGTTTTGTGTCCTATTACTAGGGATGCACTGATGCTGGTTTTTCGGTATTAAGTACCGATATTTATCTTCTCGCTGATATTTCCCCTAGCATGGAGCTGGCTTCCCGGGCAATCAGGAAGCCAGGCGGCGAGTCATTACCCGCCACCCGGCTTCTTGATTGCCCTGAAGACAACTCCATGCTATTTAGTTGCCTCGATGTTGATTCTTCAGGAAGCCGGATCCATGCTGTTTGGCCGGCTCCATGCTGATTGGCCGGGAAACCGGCTTCCCAGCCTATCAGTATGGTCAGTCACTACCCACCGCCAGGCTTTCTGATTTGGCCAGGAAGCCCACTCCATGGTGTCTGGCAGGCTCAATGCTTATTGGCTGCCAATCAGCATCGAGCCGACCAATCAGGAAGCCAGGCAGCGAGTCATTACCCGCCGCCTGGCTTTCTGATTGGACGGGAAGACAGCTCCATGTTCTCTAGCGGCACTGCCGATTAGAGGAAATCTCACTCTGAACGGAAGTTCCGGTATCAGGAAAGGTATTGGAGCATTTGGGCGAGTAGGAGTACTTGCCCAAATACTCGGTATCAGTGCATCCATGACCTATTAATATATCTTTTAAACAGACTATAAGTAGCGCTTCAATCATAATTAAAATAAGTATATACCAGCTCGGTGCAGCAGATCTATTGGGATTCATAGAGAGGACGACAAATATTTTTACAACCAAGGAACAATTCAGTCCAATCATGGAGCTAGAAGTAATTGGCATAACTTCAAAAGAAAAGACTTCAAAATATTAGGTGGCGGTTGTCAATGTCTAGGTTAATGGCTACATCTCATGGGATTTTTCCAGCTCTTTGGCCAAGTAGTTTCTTAGATTAATTAGTTATGTAAATTCACATTCATATAGAGCCAGGATCAGTAAACAACCAGTTGTGGATTTCTAATGCAAGTGACAAATCTGTGGTCTATGCTTCTAGCTCTCATGAATGCATACTGTATGTGTGTGCTTCTAGTTCCACTTGTGTATGCTATCCTTGTATAACATGCTTGGTATTGTGCTTCACAAAGCATGACGTTCACTTCTGTTTCTGCCAGCTGTCCTTTCTACTTGTCTCTTTATTTGGTCATATTTGTTTGGACTGCCTTGAAAATAGTCAGGAAAAATGTCCCATTTCCTAATTGGGTATAAAATGCCTTCTGCTAGTGCAGAGTCTTCCCCTGCCCTGGCCATGTTGCTTTGATAAAGAATTTCCCCTCCTGCTGTTTTTTTGTTTTCTTTTTTTAGACAAACATAATTGCCAGTTTATACAACCAGTGGTGATATACACCCTTTACATTAGCTAAAACATTTTAAGCCCAATTAAAGTTTAGCTGTAAATTAAGAGTGCAGCAAAACAGTAAGTTGCCAATTATTTCACTTTTTTTTTAAATTATTATTTGTTAAACATCATGAGCACCTCTATAAAATTCTGTCCTGCTGTAGGTTGCAGAAAAGGACCCTTGCTCTCTGTGTGGAAGTAGTAGTCTTTCTACAATGGTCAGACACATCCCCCTGTTTACTTAAACCTATAGCTCTGAAATCAACAGAGCTCACAATCATTTAAATTGTTGAGCTGTTGACTAGTGGTCCTTACCTGTAGCCTAGAGCATGGCACTGGATATTATGCTGGTGCTTGGGGTGCTTTACAAATAAAATAACTTAGTTTTTCTGCACCCTGAATTAATAGACCCCATTTTCAGCTATACTTTATTTGGGAATAAACGTAGCCCTATCAATACGATTACTGAGAATATATATACATTAAGCATTCATAATGTTATTTACACATATTCAGCCCGTTGCTAAAATTACATTCATATAATTGAACCTTGCCTTACACAGTCCCGTTTGCTTCAGTGTGTTACTAGCCTGTTTTTCTTTTCTCTTTTTGCTCTGTTATCTCTTTACTGTGTTTGTGGATATACTATTCAGGTGTAAATTACTTTACAAGTAATAGAACATGATCTCTGGGCTGAAAAAAAAATTAAATACATTAGGAATGTTGTATTTAATGCCATCTAAATGGCCGTAGGTGTTTTTTAGGAGACCTATTGCATACAATAAATTTGTCAGGATAATCTAAAATTGGAACCCTGTTTTGGGCTTACATCTGAAGTTGTTACTGTCTGTTTGATTCATAGATGCCACTAACGTTTTTAGATATGTAATACTGTAGTGCTAATGGAGTGCTATTATAATTTTATTGTGAGGCTGGAATCCTAGGTTGCACCTTCAGAAACACTGCTACCAAAGTCTAAAATCTTGGTCTCAAGACACTAAAACATACAGGGGAGATGGTCGCTTGCAAATCATAACACAAAGTTAAAAACTTGTGAAAAACCAGATGCCCACTCTTTTAAATTGGGTCATTGGGTTGAGAGCTGGCATGGTGGGTATTCTAGAACACTTGCAGGTGGGATGTGTGTTGTGTATGCTTTTATAATATACTGACATATTTTTAAATTATGCTGACATCATTTTTGCAACTGCACAGTTTTAATTGCTTAATTATTTATCAAACTAACATTTTTTTCCTCTGTTTTTTTCTTTCTCTATTTCTCTCACGTGCACATTAATCTCACTTTTTTTGTTCTGCAATTTTGCATTTGAATGCACACTCATATCCACCTGCTGTTGGTGTGGTTGAAACAGCTCAGTCACCCATCATCACAGTCACCCACTCACTGCTCTCATACCATACTTGTAAACCTGCCAACCATCCCTGAGATGGATGTATTTTCAGATATTTCAGAGGATGATGCATTGGAGGAACAGCATGATGAGCCTTCTAGCAATTTAGAGGTTAACATTAGTGAAAATAATACAAATGACATGTTTCCAGACCAGTACAATTTACCACCTAAAATATCAGAGTCTACCACTGATGCAGGCAGTCATATTCCCCATCTAGATTATAGTAACCATCATTCTATAAATGACAGGAGGATAGAATTTTTCTTCTCATTCAGCTTTTGCAAAATTTTCCCTTTGAGATTCCCTTCTTTGCTTGATGAGGATGGATACATCAGTTTCCCCAGTCTCCCAGAAGTTTGTGTCTCTTTCCTCCCACCAGGCCTCCAGCGCTATATCCCAATTACATCGCCTTCCTTCATTCCTTCTCTCCTTCTCATCTTTGTACTGCTTCTCTCCACTTCCCAGTCTGTGCCATTTTCATTGACTCTTTCCCTTCCCCTCGCTCTGTCCCTCTGCTACCTTGAGCCTAAGGCGACATCATGGGGCTCCTTTTATGACCTGAATAACAAAGCAGAGGAAGAGGTGTGTAGTACGATTAATTTATGTTGCCACTTGCAGCTGGGTTTCACTTCTGTATGTTTATTTGTTAAAGATCATCACTCTATAAATGCATGGGGGGGGGGGGGCAAATTAAATGGAAATATATACAAAATTAGCTGATTAGAGTGGGGAAGTGTTAGATTTTTTTTGTGGTTCTTATTGTGGTTTGTATTCCTTTTGGGGAGATGGAGACACTTCAAAGTGAGGGAAAACCCCACCCTTGTCAGTTGTCATTGGAAAAGGCATCTCCATTGAATGATCTCCCGTTATCTCTTGTAGTGACAACAGTAACATTCTTCATTTGCCCTCACTTTCTGTCTTCGTGACAATAGTGGCAAGGACAAATCGTGACAGGGAATCTTGACAGTAGGGGCACAGCTATAAAACTCTAGATGAAAAGAACAAAAGAGAAGGGCGCGCACCCTAGTGTAGATTGTTTTTAATAATAAAAGCTGCAAAACAGGATAAAAACATACTATAGTGTATCAGAATAAAAGCTTTCAATCAAAGCCTGGATGACATCTGTAATGGGCTGCACAGTCACCTGTGTAACAGCACAGGATTCCATCGTTTATGCGTTTTCGGGGCCACGCCCCCTTCGTCAGACCGTTCTGACGAAGGGGGTGTGACCCCGGAAACGCGTAAACGAAGGAGTTCTGTGCTGTTACACAGATGACTGTGCAGCCCATTACAGATGTCATCCAGGCTTTGCTTGAAAGCTTTTATTCTGATACACTATAGTATGTTTTTATCCTGTTTTGCAGCTTTTATTAAAAACAATCTACACTAGGGTGGGCGCCGTTCTCTTTTGTTCTTTTCCCATAGTGTTGCAGCTCCCCTGACTGAAGTGGGGCAGCACCCCTAGTAATCCTCGTTTTTATATTTTTCAATTGGTGGTCATAGTTTGGCGCTTTTGATTCGTTTAACTGAT